CAGGTCTCCATAGCTAGACAATGTAATTTCCAGGTATTTTTCTTGTACAATACTGATGCCATCAGTTTCTATTTTACATCTGGTTGGTTTTTTCTGACTACTATTGTTTTAGTTTTCTGGGATGAGATTGCCATATGAAATTCTTTTGCTCTTATGTTAAATCTGTGGATCAGTCTTTGCAGACTATCTTCATCTTGGGCTTCAGCCTAGCCAAGATAAAGCTCTTTGTATGGCTTAATCCAATTAAGAGCACGGTTAGTTTTAGACGTTCGAATTTAAAAAAAACAATTATTCAATCACTACCTACGAATACAACTGATCCTTGTCCGGTTATATTCTAATGTTTCTAAAATGTCGAAAATTATTAATACATTTTAAAATTTTCAACAACAGATTAATATGATGATATATTACATCGTTGTTGATGCATTTATATGATGTTAAAACTTTAAACATATTTACTTCATGGTAACGTAAAACTCCCAATTCTGGTTGCTGGCTCTGGGACGTAGGTAGTCTTTGTATGTAACTTAGATACCAACTATTGCTAAAAAACTGTATACAGGCCAAACAACACCTTTTATATATATCTAAAAAATATTTCAAATCTAAAATAGAAAATATTTAGTAACTAGCGGACCCGACAGACTTCGTTCTGCCAAATAGATTTGGAATGTGGTAGTTTATTTCTTTAATTTTTCTGAACAGAACCGTCACCATAATGATAACGTGGTGTGTGAGGGTTAGCTCGGGTGATCTAAGTATCTTCGCTCCACGAACTTTGGCCACCCTTTTGGAGCCACTAAAAACCCCGACTGGGATGTCTGCCAGAGGGCTTCTAACTAAGAGGAAAACTTAAGTGGGAACCTAAAGGTGACACATATTTATAAAGTAGGTGCTTCAATGATAAAACATGTAAATAATAAATTATTTATTATTATTATTATTATTAAAATAGGGTTAATACCTAATGTAATAAAGAATAATGAAATACAACGTATATAAGTGTTTTCAGTAATCGCTTTATTGTTAATCAAGTGAATTATAATTATTAACAAAAATAAGTTTTATTTTTATTGTAGTGCTTTATGATATACAATGTTTTTATTTAATTACTTGGTGAATATACAAACAAATCTGATGGTTTTCCAACACGCGAACAGGCAACATACAATTGACCATGTGATAAACATGGATTTTCTAGATTAATAGCACAAACACCTAATGATTGCCCCTGGGACTTATTTATGGTCAAAGCAAAAGCAAGCCGCACTGGAAACTGTAGTCGTTTAAATTCAAATGGTACATCAGTCGGAATCATTAAGATGCGTAGTATCAAAACGTCTTCTCCTTTATACTTTTCTTTCAGTATAGTTGCTTCGATCACGTTGTTTAATAATTTTTTATCGCTAACCGTGTGCCATTGCAAAGACGAAGTTGGTTGATATTTTTCAACATTATAACTACCGATTTAACCTTTAATTAAAGATTGTGAGATGGCATTCCTGGTAAATCCAACGAGAAATCAAAAAATTCAGGATGATAGTTGACGACATCATCTTGGTTAGTAGCTGAATCAGCTGATTTATATATCCTCAATTTGCTTGTAATTTACATCTATGTTTTTGCAGGCAATATAGCCCGTTCGCTCAACCAATCATGGTTTCTGTATTTTTGAGCAACTTCTGGAAACACGTTTTGAATAAGTTCATCTTTTGATCGAGTTAACTGACAAACACTTTGAGAAAAGGTAATGCAACCAGTCAAGGTATCTATAGTAAATTTGCCATTACCAATGTCAATGAGTTGTTTAAAGAATATGCATTGATCATCATGAGTTGAGTTCATCAGCTGGCGTTGATCATGGATTCACTGGCAATGTTTGACGAAAATCTTCTGCTAATAAAATCATTGCACTACCAAATGGGTTATGATTGCTCCATAGATCTTGTAAGGTTTTATATAAAACCTACAAAGATTTTTTACGTGCCATCGTGCATTCATGAAAAAAAATTAATTCACATTGCTGCACAACCTTTGCCATTGCAGAGTTCTTCCAAATGTTGCAGGTTGGAATTTCATTGCTTTGCATGTTTAATGGCAATTTTAGTGCTAAATGGACTGTTCGGCCACCTTCAAGTAAAGCTGCTGCGATTCCCGACGAAGCGAGTGCAAGTGAAATTTTATTTTGTGAGCGAATTGTTATGAAATCAAAAAAGTTTTGCCTGTACCACCAGGTGCATCTAAGAAGTAAATCCCTCCTGTTTTATTATTTGTTACTTTCATAAGTATATTAAATAAATATTTCTGTTGTTCATTCATTAGTGGAAGATTTGTTTGAATCAACTCTTTCAAAGTGTTGAGATCATACAGTTTTTCTCGGTACAACTCTTGGTTAAAAGCATCATGCATTGGACGATTGGGCGCGGCCAGGCCTAATTAAAATAATAGTTTGTTTTATATCATTTAGTCATCATCATCATCAATTAGCCTATATTTGTCCACTGCTGAACGTAGGCCTCCCGTAAAATTTTCCACCTATTTCTGTCTTAAGCTTCTTGCATCCAGTTTGTGGTGATGCGCTTGATATCATCCGTCCATCTAGTCGGTGGTCGTCATCTGCTTCGATATGCATCTTGCCATTCCAGAATCTTTTTGGTTCATCTGTCATTCGTTAATCTGGCAACATGTCCGGCCCAAGCCCATTTAGCCCTGCCTATTTTTTTCAACTGCATCTGTGACTCCTGCTCTTCTTCTTATTTCTAGGTTTGGTACTTTATCTCTGATGGTAATACCTTATATTGATTTTTCCATAGCGCGTTGTGTAAGTCTTATTTTAGCTAATTTTCTTTTTGTCAGAGTCAGTGTTTCTACACCATATGTAAGAACCGGTAAAACGCTTTGGTTAAAAACCTTTCTTTTTAAACAAACTGGGATACTAGACTTGAAAATGTTATTCAATCTACCAAAGGCAGCCCATGTGAGACCTATCCTTCTTTGTATTTCAGTTGTCTGATTATCTCGGCCTAGGCGAATCTCATGCCCTAGATATTTGTAAGCTATTAATTGGTCGATGCTATGGCTCTCAATCAGAATTTTACCGCTGACTACAAGGTTGGTCATAAATTTTGTTTTTAAGGTGTTAATTTTAAGACCAATTGTTTTTGACACTTTATAGAGCGTGTGCAGCATTTTTGTAGCTTTACAACTCTATCAGATATTAAAACGATGGCATCGGCAAATCTTAGGTAGTATAGATCTTCCCCATTTATATTAATTTCCATATTATCCTCTCGTCCCATTTGCTTGAACATATATTCAAGAACAGCTGTAAACAATTTAGGGGAGATAGTATCATCCTGTCTAATTACACGTTCTATTCAAAAATTCTTGGTATCTTTGTAAAGGCGGACACAAGCTGTACTAGATTCGTAAATACTTTTAATCAAGGCAATATATCGGTAGTCAATGCGGCAGTCAGCCAATGCTCGAAGCATTTTATCGAATGATGATCTATAGTATCGAACGCCTTTTCATAATCTACAAATATAAGAAAGATAGGTTTGTTACACTCTTATACACTTTTATATTCTATCATTGAGTACATGTCCTCAATTGAAATCAATGCTTTATTGTAAATTTCTTTGCTTATTTGTATATTTGGATTTCCCCCTCTCATCCGTATTTGATACACAATATCATCACACATATTATCTTTGTACTTGATCCACAAAACAATTGGGTTTGATGGGAAGCATGTAGGTATGATTATAGAAAACAATGTTCGTATTTAATGAGCTTGTGATGATATTACAGCATCATTCAGAGTTTGATCCCAATTAGCGTCATTTTCTAGCAATTGCAAACGTTGGCAGGCTTCTCTGTATGATACACACAAATTACCATTAACAGTTCGTAAATGTTGGAATAATGATGGGCCACGTATATTGACTAATAGCAGTCGTAAATAAAAACATTCATCATTGCTTGAATGTACTGGATAAATTCGATCAATCGCATCGATAGAACATACATCTGGGCATCCTGGAACTGGTTTTCCTTGTTTTCCTTGTTAAAAATCTCCTTACGGGTTGATTCCAAGTATAATATTTTGACATTTCAGAATATAACAGTCTTTGAGCCAAAGCATCGTTTTGGCATATCTCAAAAAACTGTTTAATGTAGTAGATGGTGGCTGAGCAGCTCTTTGTATTGCGTTCTGTGCTGTAAAATAATACTCTTTGTCCATTTTCTAAATGCACAGCTAAATGAACAACAGTAGGGTGTCTCTCATGAATAGGAAAAGAACATATTCGCCAGTCATTACCAGTGATTGTTTCAGATATCATTATGAACACTTACCGTCCACCATACACGGTGAATTTTGATTAAGAGTTCCACATGGACCATGTATCATGTTTTTGATAACTACCTTATGTAGTCCAGGATATACTTCTACATTACGGATTTATTTATAAAAGATTTTATTTATTTATGGAAAAAGATCATTGCAGATCTATTTCTAAGTAATAACTGTATTAATGCTTTCTGGGAAATGTCAATGTTTTACCCATATACGGAGTGTAAAAATAAAGTTGTTATTTCGTCTTATTTTGTAACCTCCTGTGGAATTTATTAAAAGGAACACACCTACATTGTTTAGACAACAGTGAGTGCTTGTAATTTAATATAAACTATATTGAATAGCAATAAAGTTCAAATTGACTCTACATTTAGGTAGAAAAAAATTGTATGGGGAAAATAAAAGAGATGTTTTAGGGTTTTCCCGGAAAAGGAAAGCTGTTTTCAAGGAACATTTTAAAAAAAGAATTGTTAAGATTGGTCTGTGCGTTGTTGAGTTATGCGCTGACCAACACATTTTGCGATTCATTTTTATATTATATATTAATATTTGTACTATAAATAACTTCATTTCAGGTTATCTACTAACAGGGTTTTACCTAAGGTTTTGGATAGACACAGCGACGTACATCATTTTTATGCGCAGATTGTTTGATCAAGTAACAAGGGAAATAGAAACAAAGTTAATTGAACATGAAATACTAGAATCAACGAAAGCACTCTATATTTTAAAACCAGAAAGCAATTTTTTAATCAAACTTAAAAACCTTCGACGACTTTATCTTGCCATTTTAGAAAGTTTTCAGAGGACAAGAGCTATATATAGTGGAATCACAGAATATGTGGTATTGGGAAATTTTTTGTCAGCAATTTGGATTTTGGCTATTATATGTATAGGAGCAGTTGGAAGAAGACAGCTTACCTTTAGTGATTACGCAATAGTGTTTAGGTTTATTGTCAGAGCAGCCATGATAACTATCTTTGCGGGAGTATCTGATAGAATTCAAGTATTGGTAAGTATAAAACTAATCATGTACTAATGTACACCAGTTTATCGAAATTATCATTTGTTTATATTTTTATATTTTTTAAATAAGTATGTACTTTGATCTACTTTTTACATTATTTTGACTTCAATTTAAACTACTATGACTTTATGCTACATAAGTTCTGTACGTGTAAAGGAAAATCAGCTCTTACTACATTATAATTAATAAAATTTATCCAAATGTCTAATTAATACAAACAAATCGTCATTTAATTTTTGGTACTCCTGAAAAGAAAAAATCACTCTATCAACTTACATAACTGAAAAATATGTTAAAATTGATAGAGAAAAAACAGGTTAAAAATATAAAAGCTATAATTAAGTAAAATTGGTTAATTCGGCACTATAGAATATAACTCCAAGCATAATTCAAATTTATCATTCACCAACAGGCGAAAAGATGATACGGTAGGAGATGATTTTCACCATAGGGATATAATGCAAGATAGACTGACTGCTGCAATACACTGTCGTTCCCCTAGTGCGACAGAAAAAACTGACGCAAAGCCGTCCCTGCATGTCTGTCTAATGGGCTGGATTTATCTACCACGTGACCTTCCCATTGGTTATTTAGGTCACGTGGTCGATAAAGTTGCTAATTTAGAAAGATATGCAGGGACTGTTTCGCGTCAGTTTTCTCTGTCGCACTGGGGGGAACAGGCTGGTATTGCAAGGATCAGTTTATCTTATATCATATGTCTATGATTTCAACGCGATGATTGAGTCTAGGTCTGATGAAAAAGTTAAAGAATAATACGGCATGCGGGAAGATAATCATCTAAAAAAACTCAATATGACGAAAAGACAAAAACTGTCGTTACATAAAAGCCATACTTATTATTAGCCTTTTTCTTATTTCTTCTTCTTCTTTTTATATAGACATAACTCTGTCTGTTTTTCAATGTGCCTCCAGTAAGTTGTCATTTCATCGTTTTCGTGGTCTTCCTACTAATTGTCTTTCTATTGAGAAACCGTCTCTTGTCGTCTTTACTACTCTATTTGTTGTCATTCGGTTTATATGATCGTTCTATTCTACTCTTCCGTTTCTTACTTAGTTCTTTATGTTCTCCACCTTCCATCTATGTCATATATCTGTACTTCTAGCTCTGTCACATAGCGTCTCACCATCAATTTTTTTAAGTATTTTTATCTCTGCTGTTTTTAACATCCTTTTTGTCCTCTCTGTGTCAGGTCTTGTTTTTGCCGCACATATCATTATTGGTCTGATGACTCTTTTGTAAATTCTGCCTTTCGTTTCTTTTCCGATATTTTTATTTCTACGTATTGTTTCATTTAGGAAGCCTACGGTTCTGTTTGCTCTATTAACTTAATCTTCCACTTCGGTTTCGAGCTTTCCGTAGCTAGATAATGTGATACCTATATATTTAAACTTCATCACTTGTTCTATTTTATTCTATTATAATATTATTAGCCGAAACATGAACTTAACTGATCATATTACTTGACATCTTACAAACAGAAATATCCATTACAAGTTGATACCTTCTTAACTGTTTATATAATGTTAAATATTAATTTCTCCTGATGACTTGGTTAAACTATTTGTGTTAAAGATAATCTTAAAAAAAGAGTATTTAAAAAAGATAAAAATTTAAAATTTACCTGAGTCATTATTATCTCATGATTATGTAGTTGGGAAATTTTTCGTTTCTTATAATCTACATATATATTTAGTAGAACAATAAAAATAGACAATAATTCTTATTTAATTGCAAGAGTATCGTACAAAAAATATAAAAATAACCCACCTCCCTAATGTCTTATATTAATTTGTTTCATCCAAAAAAACGGAACAAAAAAATAATATAACTTGCAGTGTGTCCTACTTTCACCATAAGCTTTATAGACTGCAACTTAGCACTTTACTGGCATATTGTACCTCAGATTTTTAAAGAAAAATCAGAAGATTATACCGAGGTTTCAGATTTAATTTTCAGTTCGTCTTGGCTTCTATAATTTGCCGGCAAATATTTATTTACCACTCGACTGTGGCCAAGGTGAGAACCGAACATGCCCCTATAATTCAGCTGCTTAGATCGAAATCAAAATTGGATTCTGGTAGTGTTCGGACAAATCCCATTACCTCGCGAAACGCCACACCTCCGACCTCTTAAAAATGTCAACCGGAAAAACAAGGGGCTAAAATACTAATCGTTGAATAGTTTGATTAACGAAACAAAATCAAAACAGAAACAAACCAAGAACTAAAACAAGGTTTTAGTATGTTACCAAAGTTTTTAATATCTATACTTATAAACAAAAATATCGAATATTTTGAAATTTTATTTTGTGAAAATAAATTCTGGTCAATACGTCGTTTATTGTGAAGAAGACTCTATTTAAATAATGTTTAATAAACTATTTAGAGTTTATATGCTTAGAAAATGACGAAAATGAAAAAAGAATGCTTAACATAAGATTAACAAAGTTATTTTACTCTAAACTGAAATGCTAATTTAAATTTCTTGTAAACGTGTTTTTAACTGAAATAAGTGCATGATCAGTAACGAGTATACCACCTTTAGCTCTTATTACTGCTTGCATCCTTCTCGGCATGCTTGCTTCCCTTTGGACATATCCTTGGGGAATTGCATTCCATTCATCCTGTGCCGAAGCTATTCTATCGTATTTAGAACCGGATTTCTTTGTCATATGTGCCGTTTTAGCTAATCCCACATGTGTTCCATTGGATTTAAATCCAGGCTAAATGGTGAACAATCCTATCTTAGAATTTAGATCTCATCAATAATATTACTCACTATGGCAGCGGCATGTGGTCGAGTATTATCGTGCATTAACATGAGTCTGTCATATCAAATTTAACCAACATATAACAAAACATGATCTTGCAGGATATTTTAAACGTAACATTAATCAGCCATCCGTCAAATCACCTCCACAAGTGCAGTGCGTCCCTTCCAACTAATATCTCTTCGAAGAAAGAGTTGTACCCTCGCACTTTGGTGTTCCATCCCTTGCCTTTTCCACATTTATCAGATAGTAATGACACTTCCTCTCTTCTAATTTCCGCATCACCTTTTTCCACTGCAGTGTTGAATGCATTTCTAACATCGAACAGCAACAGAGCCGCCCAGCGCTGTTTATTCCCAATGTCCCCTGTTTATCCCCTGTCTAGTTTGGGGTATCTACGTGTCTTAAGTGCATCTAATACATCGACTAATTCATCTATGGTAAAAGATACGGCCCGCTCAGCTCCCTCGTTACTCCATAGTCAATGTCATGCCGAACGAAAAAAGTTCTCGTGTTACCCTAAGCTTTTTGTCTAGTGGCATTTCGTATGAGGGTTACGCATGGAGCATGCCTTTTTGTTTCTGTACTAATTTTTTTGCAGAGTTCTCTCTTTCGTGTGCCTATTTCGATAAATCGTCTATTTCGATTAGCTGAAATTGCTCGGCGACAACAGAGTTTACCCCTGCTCTGCCTCTTGCCGTCGTTATTCTTCTCCTCATGGCCATGAAATCGTCAATGAGCTTTTCGATGTTTGTATGTTTGTATGCTTCACCAGTATGGCGTCCTGTTAACCACTCGACGACTTATTCCACTGCCTTCTACAGCTTCTTTCGTGACTCGTCCCAGGTTTTCTATCGTTGGCGTTTGACCCTGTATCATACCTACTCTCAATTGAATAAGTTAAAATGACTTATACCAATCCCTTGGATTAAATGTAAACATAGATCTACAGCTTATTGGCTGACACAACTGCTCACTAGGCGTGGAACATTCCCTGTGTACGCTAAGCATTTCATACATGTATTGCAATGAACGTACCACCATGGAGCACAAAATCTTTGTCCGCAAGAGATGGCACACAGAGCGACAGGAAATCAACCTTCTCCTGGAAGTGGAACTAACTTGGGGCAATGTAACTGATCAAATGACAGAGAGTGCAGGCAAGTGGAAGGTGGTACAAGAAGCAATAATATGCATTATGCTCACTAAAAAAAAAGAAAAGATAAAGGCAACACGAATTAGCTAACTAAGTGAGAAACAAAGTCAGCCAAAGGCATTTGAAATTACGTCAGAAATTATATTCAGGATGCCTAATACGTGGCGAAGAAAAATAGTTTTAGGGGGTATGATAGGTCTCTAAGTCCCACCCTATCTGTAGTATGGGCTATTAGGTGGGTGTAACTGCAGTTCTCTTTTGCAAAAAAAAAATAATAAATACTAAATTACAAACTAAAGGAAGAAACAGGGTAAAAAACCACTTATAAAGATGGAGCTAGGTTTAATTTCGGAACAGGCGATAAATGTCTAATCGCTCGAATGAAGAAAAGCAAGATTTGCTATGATAATGATATAATGAGAGGTAATAGTTTCTATTCTGCCATAACTTTAATCTCTCATGGCTTTTTTTTTTAAAACTAAATCCCACCCTAAAAAACAGCAAGAATCGAATAAAAATCTGAACTCCTCGCCAACATTAAGTAACGATAATTTCTAGCAAATTGCTCTTAAACTGTTGAGTTTATTCTAAATTTTGTTGATTTTTCCCTGTAATTTTACAGTTGAGAAATTTTAACAAATGACGCACTAGTAGAAAAATATTGACGCGTTTAAAATATAACCCAAATTTTATGTGTGTGATGTACAAAAGGTACGACAAATTCTGAGCCGAATTTGAAAAAAGAAGCAACTTATTTTTATGACTAAAGAGAAAAAATTGCAATACTCTTATTACTTTATAAGCGATGCTAAATTCTTGATTTAGAGATAAAATTAAACGAAAAAAAATCTGTTGGTCAAAAACAGATCTCGTTATTAAAGATCAGATGCAATGATGTCAAATGTCAACACAAACCTTCAGCCGCTTCTCCCGTACATCGATTGAAAAACCAATATTTGTAGTGCGGCATATTCAGAGAGATTACAACATTTGCAGATAATTTCTTAGATTTTTGAATCATCGTCAAATAAGAATTTGAGTTTTAATTAAACTAAATTTTTATTCTTTGATATTAGACAGTAGTGACACATCCTGTAGTGAATATACGTACCTGGGAGTAATCTTCGATAGAACGGGAAAAGACGATGATGAAATAAAGAAAAGGATTACACAAGCTAGAAGAACAATTGGCTGCCTAAATGGAATACTTTGGAGCTCTGAAATAGGAATAAAGCGAAAATATAACATCTATGAGTCACTTATTAAAAGCAGTCTACTTTATGGAGCAGAAACTTGGAGAATAACCGAGAGCAACAGAAAAAAATTAGAAGCTGTAGAAATGGATGTGTTTAGAAGATCGTTAGGTATATCCCGCAGGGAAAGAGTTCGAAATGAGGAAGTAAGACGAAGAATTGGAATAGATGGTTACTTAACAACAGACATTGAGAGGAAACAGTTGATTTGGTATGGTCATGTTCAAAGAATGGAAGACACAAGACTACCCAAGAAGATTATGCAGTGGGTACCACCAAACCGCAAAAAACGAGGAAGACCCAAGAAGACATGGAAAGAAGGGGTAACTAAAGCAATGAGTACAAGAGATCTTAGAGACGGCCAATGGGATGATAGAAGGACGTGGAAGTTAGGCATCGGACAACGTCGAAAGACGTTCTAAAACCGATATATATGTATATATATATATATATATATATATATATATATATATATATATATATATATTAGACAGGCTCTTATTCATATGTTGTTTAAGTTGCTTTGGCACAAAGCATGTCATGTCATGTTTGTCTCTGGACGCTAGTGGTATCTAGTGGTTAAAAATCTAAAGTTAAATCGAGTTTAAGTGTGATCCTGTCATATATCAAACTACAATTTTTCAAATATTTATAAATTTATTGATTTTTCTGAAGTTTCGAAGTCAAAGTGATTGATAATTGATCTGTTAGCGATTAATTAATAGAATAGATATCATGAAAAATAATGTAGTGTATTTATAGTTTTTCATAAAAAAATAGAGAACATGACCTGGTCAAAGAAACTGTTCCTATTAAGACTCACCGGTAAAGTTCCAAACAAGGTCTACGGGCCATATTTGATGTCTGTAGATTTTTAGCAATATTTATCTATTTAAAGTCAGATTTGATGACTATATACACCACACTTCTGTTAAATTATTTTAACTTACATCATTTTGTTGTCAACGAATCCAGTAAAGAAAGAAACACTTTAAAAACAAGGGAAAGGGAATCATATTTATCATCGGTTGTAAACTTGTTAGAAGAATTTTACTATAGGATAGCAAGTGCCTTTGAATTCGACATTCGACAGTCAGTGTATTCCCTCTTTATGCAAAACCGTATCGAAACCTCATTTAATGATTTTAAAGGAATGCTGGTCGCAAATGGTTACCCACGCAGAGGTTGCAAAATTAAAAGCACAAATCATGAACCCTGGAACCGCACAATTGATTTTTGATATGGATGAGAAAGGATTTCCAACTTTCTCTTCATAAACAACAATCAATTTATGCCAAAATAGAAACAAAAAAGGTGCATATGGTTGCCCCTGAACATGGTGAAAATGTGACCATAGTATCATGTGAAAAAAGAATGCAGCTAGAATGGCAACATAATCTTCCAGATGGTTCGACAATTGAAATAACAGAAAAAGAATCAATAACAATAATAACCTTTATAAAATAAGTACATCACTTTGCAAAGTTCAAACCACAAGGTCCCATTTTACCGATTTTCGATGAAGCTAAGTTTTACTTAGACGCAGGTATTGTTAATGCGGTTGACTACCACGGAATTACACTTTTTTGTATTCCTACTAACCTCATGAGCTACAACCAATGGACAAATCTGTATTTTTGTTGGTTTTGCTAATTATGTAAAGTGGACCGAATATCAGATATATGAGGCTGTGCTTAAATGTGTACACGAAGAATGTATAGGATTTACAGGTAGAGACAAAACTCCTACATATTTTCTCCAAAGTGTGATTTGTAGACTGCAGATCATTACAAAACTATGTAAATTTTTTTATATATTGATAAGCGTATATTTCTAACTTAAGTGCATTTATCATTCTTATTAAAGTGTCTTATTAAAGTCTCTTATTAAAGTATTAAAATTTGATAAACTTTTCCATGGTAAAATAAAAGAGCATAAAGTTTCTATTCTTTTTCTACTGCTTTAAGTAATTACACAAGTGGAATATTTAATAATTATTTAAAAATAATTGAATAAGGCGGGCCTTATTTGGGTCGCGCCCCTGATTGCATTATTTTCGATTTAATTTCTAGATAACTATTATTTTATTCTATTTACCCTACATTTGATTTAATTTGTATTGCCTGTATTGCAATTGATTTTTAAATTTAATTACCTCTAAGACTAATAACATTTACATAGAAATATAAAATCTTTTAAATGTCGTAGATTGAACGCATACAGACCGTGATATACAAAGTACCATCCAGAAAACTTACTGCTGAAGAATCAGCGGAGGTATGATTTTTTTAAATCGAGGTTATTAGATTTCTAAGTTATTTATACTTTTTAGCTTGAAACCTTTATGAAGCTGCTAGGCTGGGAGGAACCTATGAAAACAACAAAAGACTCGTATCGATTTGGAATTGGTTCGATGAGTACCGTGAGTACCTATATAGATATGAAGTCTGCAGAAATTAAAATATATGTGCATCTTTCTTTTTTTCTTTTTTTCTGTTTTAAACTTATATTCTATTGATTCTACATAATATGCTTTCTTCTAATCCAAATTAGAGATATATCTCCTACTCTTGGGAGGTTCCCTAATAGTCGACAGCTATCCATTATTTTTCCATGGTCATACTAAAATTGATATCTTTGTCTCCCTCATCTAACTATACCATATGTAATTCAGATTTATCACTTTCTTGCACTGTTTCTAAGATTTGTATCTTCTCATTTATATAATAAGAATTTGTGGCGTAAACTTTATTACTCCTTTATACACGCGAATTATTTCTTTATATACAAGATTCCAGTTCCAATTTACGTGATCGAATATGTTAGATCCCAGCGGTCGTTGTACTGTAACTCGCAGTAGCGAGTTAGGGTACAACGCAGCTCTAGCTCTCGTCCTGTCATAAGCGCTTCATTAACAATTAAAAACAATGTTTTAAAATAAAGTAAGTCCAAAATTTTTATCAGTAACCAGAAGAAGGTTTGAACTTAAATATAGATACTTGTTTATTTCAAAAATAATATTTTTACTGGTATTTTTAAACCCTAAAAATCGTCATTTTTACATTTAATACTATGCTTCAATGTTTTAATGAGTTTTGCCTTCCCCAGATTCCTTGAGGTTGATCTCCTTAAAGGCGTGATATTGATCATCCACCTGGGGATCAGATCCTGTTGTTTTACAACTCATTTAGGGTGTATTAGCCATAACTCGTCACGCTGGCATGACGGGTTGGCGAGTGTTGAGGGGATATAGGGAAGGGATTTGGTATTTAAGTAGGATAGTACTTTGGTGTGAACCTGGTTTCCTCGAAGAGGAGTGGAGGAAAGAAACGGAAGCTTGCGTAAGTATGGACGCGGAATCCCTAAAATTGTAAAGGTGTACTTACACGCTCTCTTTACTACAGAAGTCGTGGGGAGGCTTTTGTACAGGAATGGATACAAACAGGCTAAAGAAGAACAAGAACAAGATCATGTTTTATATTTTTAATAATTGTGTAGTTTTTTTTTCTTGTCATATCTGTTTGTATTTGCGTTTTACTATAGTTTACCTGATTATTGTAATATTTTTTTTACATATTACGTCCAAAAATGTCGTAACCTACTTTAAAATTGAAATTTGTTGCTGTTCCCAGTAACTTTAGTGACATTTTAACTTGATGAAAAAGTATTGAATGTTATGTGTTGTACCTTAAACAGAGTTGAGTGAGAATAAAAGTAAAGTTTTATATAATTAATTGAGAGACATACTGACAATATTAGATGATCTTAATACACACGTGGGCCAGTACACGACAATATAAAAAGCAATACATCGAGGACTAGACTTTGGAACTAGAAATGAAGCTGGATATTAGCAATGCTTGAATTAGCAACAGCATTAGATCTGGCGATTGTTTAAAGCAATAGATTATTTGATGATAGGAAAAGGAGATATAAGCCATTAAAAGACAGTAAGCCAGCAACAAACGTTTCTTGTGCTGCACTTCGAGGTAAACAGCGAAACTTAAAAATTAGGAATGAAGGTCTATTCAGGACAAAAATAGCAGAAAAAATGTATTAAAACTTAAAATTATTAACTATTGAAACATTTGTGTTTGAGACTAAACAGATCTTGTGTTGGTCAAACGAAGAAAAAAAATAAAAGTAAAGAGAAAATTATATAAACAATGGCAAGAAAACAGTTCAGTTAGAGATCTTTAAAACTGTATAATCAACAAGAAGGAGGTAAAAGTAGCAGCAGCAAGAACTTAAGCAGAAGATATAAATCCATACGATTAACTTGATACCAGCGAAGAAGAAATTAAGATATATACATTAACAAACAAATAGCAAAGAATGCAACAAAATAAAAATACTAAAATACAAATTTATGAAAAGGATTTAAAAAGAGACCGAAAAGGGATAGTTTATTAAATGAAGAATTTATCACAAAATTAGTTTAGTTAGCGGAAACATCAACAGCAATGATTACCAAAATAACAAATGAGCAAGTGGTTCAAGCACTTCAAAAAATAAAAGAAGGAAAAGTAGTTAAACCAGATGATATTCCTGCTGAAGTATGGACAGCATCAGACGAGACAGGAACAAGTTGACTATCAGCGAGAAGTGGAACAAATGGTAGGCGAATGGAGAAGCAGTATAGTAGTACCTGTTTAGAAAAACAAGAAACATATTATACAATCATATAAAAACTACATCATCATAAAACTACTTAATCATTCCATCAAAATATTGAGAACATAATTATAACTGAAGTAACCGAACTATACGATAATAAATTTGGCTTTAGTCAATACATATCAACAACAGATGCAATTTCCATGATAAGGCAGTTGGTGAAAAAATACAGAAATAAAAAAGCAAAACGGTCAGTGGTATTCACTGATCTTGAGCTATCATATTATGATGAGTTTCTCGAGATATTTTGTAGGGAGCACTAAATAGGGAAGTGTCTACGATACATATGTACAGATTGTGAGAGATATGTATAAGAGAGTAAAAACTAGTGTTAGGACAGGTATGAAAGAGATTAATAAATTTCATGTGAAAGTAGGATTGCATCAAGGCTAGGTGCTTATTCCTTATTTATTTTTATTAGTTTTGGATCAAATAACAGCGAAACTGCATGGTAACATTTCCTGTTGCTTACTCTTTGCTGATAATGTAGTGTTAGTAGGATACAGTGATTGCGATTTCAAACAAAACTGAAGCAGTGGAGACAAGCTCTGAGGAAAAAGGTTTAAGGCTCAGTAGGACAAAAATGCAGTAATTACTATTTAAATGGGAATAAGCCACAATTAAAGGTTAAAATACGTTTATTGACGTTTCAGTTTCCATTTCACAAAATCGTTTTCCGAAGTGGAAATTGAAATGTCAATAAACGTATTTTAACCTTTAATTGTGGATTACTCCCATTTAAATAGTAACTACTTTAAAATGCCACAAGAAAATAGCTTCAGAACAATACTAAAAATGCATTATTTGGAATGTTTATTTAAAAATGGAGTTACTACCATCGAATTGGTATTACAAGTAATGGGAAAATAGATAAAGATGCATGCAGTATAATTAGGGTTGGATGGATGACGTGCAAGAAAGCAAGTGCTGTGCTAAGTGACAGAAAAATTCCAATAAAGCTAAATGGAAAATACTTTTCCCAAGTAATTGAAGGTAATAATAGAAAGTATATTTTTTAAAATTTTAACGTAATTATTAAAAAAAACAATGATTACCATAATCGTTCTTCTGTGGCTAAGATTTTAGTTCAACATTCTTCTGAAATTAATTTAGTACCAAATATTTGCTGAACTTAAAAAATACCTCCATTACAGTCAATCATGCCAAAAAAAGTTTTTCAATTTTCAAATATATATACTCAGAAACCACAAGTTTTTGTTAGAACATTTGATACAGCACTTGGTTAGCAAGGAACAACAGTTATTGTTATCATAATTCTCGGGAATAATATTTAATCCTTTAAATCATTTATCATCATTATGTAGTCCTGATTTGTTCACCGTTTAACATAGGCCTATATATATTTCCATCTATTTCTGTTCTGCGCCTCTGCTATACAATTTGTAGCAGTTCTTTTAAGGTAAGTTAGTCCATCATGTGGGGGTTATACGAGTCAGTTTTTCCACCTGAAGTCTTTTATTCTTGCCACATATGCTGCCCAATATGCAAGCTCAATTTTTGACCTGTAATACGTTCGATATAGTATATTTCTCAAGCTTATGCCAAGAATTGATTTCCTCATTTTACTTCTTAATTTTTTCATTGATATTTTTGTGAGAGTTAAGGTTTCTGTTCTGCATGTGAGAACTGTGAGAACACACTGATTAAAAGCTTTCGTTTTTAAATAGATTATATCGATCGTAATAAAATATTGTCTCAAAGTCCAACCAATAGAGAAGAAAATCAAAGAAGCCCAGCTGAGGTGGTACAGCCACATGGTTAGGATGCATAAAAAAACCAGTTATACAAGTTTGGGTGCAGGGAAAAGACCGAGGGGCAGGCTAAGGATGACCTAGGACGATGAAATTGCAGCCATCCTATAATTAGCCATTATAGACAAGATTATCATTTATTATTGCCTCTATTATAGACAAGAAAGGAGTCACCACAGAGCAAGCGAAGAACTTTGCAAGAACCAAGAAGAATTGGAGGAAGTTTGTATACGAATCCTAAAAAGAGACTGTACACCCAACACCTTAAAGTAGAAGGGTTATTGATGAAATATAATAAGTAATAGTTATTTTTAAACAATTGCATTTTAAAATTAATATTAAATTTATTTATTTTCAGTTAGCTTTGGAAGTTCTTGTCAACTCTATGGTGGTCACACAGCTGTATATTTTTTTAGATCAACAATTGAAGGCATCTTAAGTTAAACGTAGATACACATTTAACAACATATGTATAAGTACTATCTTATTTTTACTAGTTGTTTTATATTATAAATATAAGTTGCTTCATGATTAATACTATTTTTTTTATTTTTATTCCCAAATAAAGTATTTTACACAACTGCGTTCTACTGAAAATAAATACTCATAAAATATAATCAAGGAAATTCGAGATATTTTAAAGAAAATTTGTGATATGTATTAGCTAGGGCAAGTAAATTATGCAGAATTGAGACGGTGCTTACCCGGGTGCTACTGGCATAGGATGTAATTTTATATGAATTTTACATGAGTTTTTTTTTACGAATATAAAACCTGTTATAAACCGATCGTAGTGAAGTCGTGGAAGACATGGTAAACTGTTTCAGGTTCTCTATTACAGATTCTGCAGCTTCGTGTATAACCCCATTGTATGCAGGTGTCGTTTGACTGGAGCATCTCCAGCAGTGCTTTAGTCCTATTAGTACATGTCTATCCAATATGTCCAGATGTATCCGGACATACCTTCCCAATTATGTTGTGATTTGATTCAGGTTATTTTCCGGTCCTGAACAGTGTGTTTGCCACTACTATGGCCGGCTGTGGAGTGAAGAATTTTGTCACTGAACCTTTTCTCGTAAGTTCATCGACTCTTTCATTGTTGTATATTCCCAATGACCTTGACCTGGAATCTACACTATGACTATTTTATCAGTCTTTTGAGTTCTTCTCGGCATTTTCACAATAGTCTAGCTGCCTTAGGTGACTATCTTCACAACCAGATTTCCGATTGATACCATTTAGGTTTAGGGGACACTACTCTATCTATCTATACAGCCCTTGCTGTCCAATTTTGGACATAGGTCTCCTCTTCCTTCTTCCACGTCTCTCTATTGTAGGTAGTTTGTATCCACTTCGGGCCTGCGTGTTTCTTCAAGTCATCTGACCATCTCATTTTTTAGTAACACTAAACTTCTTCTAATTCTTTCTCCCTGATCAAATTTATGATTTTGAACTTCATAGCCTAGTATAGCCTGTTTTGCCTATTTATTTTAGACAGACAAATTTTTCTTGTAGTTTCATCGAATTCTATCTGTATATTGAGAAATTCACCCTGCATTAGGTGCATTTTAGTTTTTCAGAATGTACTTTTACCTTCTGTATAAGAATCTTCAGTAGAAAATCCTGCTTTTGTAAGTAACAAATGTATTTTTTGTATGTTATAATGTGTTTCCCCATTGTTTTTTACATGAATAGATATTTTATTTGTAAATAATATAAATAAATAACCCAATTCATATTTTATATTTTTTTTTATTGACAACGTAAATATTTAGGTTTAACACTTTAACTCCTGGGCCTATTTATCTGCATAAGTTGTCACAGCCTGGCCACTCTTTTTTTCATGTTCTCTAATAAAACGCTCTATATGTATGTGTTATTTCATATAATGACATTTTTTTTATTTAAAAAGGGCTTTGTAGGGTGTGTTTACGGTGTGTAGGGTGTGTTTTCATGTAGACGACTTTTCATAATGTCATTACCCATAGCCTAGATGTATTGAAATTGATACACATTATTTATGAAACTTTATTACGAAAAAACATAAGCAAACATCTTAACAAATTATTTTAAATATACATTATGTGTTTTAAAAAAACAAATGTTACAAATAAATTTTTTTTCTCTACACTCAGTGCCAGTACACCTAGTGTTGCACTGTTTGGAATTCTTAGATGCATGTGCGCGACCAAAGGATTTTGCCTGTGTGCTGTAACATATAACACATCGTCCTCTTTTGTCATATTCTTCCAGCCTATGGTGTGTTTGTTGAGGGTTTGTAACATTATTGTCTTTGCAAATGGCAGTCACTAATTCTTCGCGAAATTGTGTTACATCCATTTTTGTGTTCAAAGCTTTGTTATATAGGATTAAAGCATTTACTATGGCTGTATTTGTCAGTAACTCTATTCCCACTTTCCGATACCATGTTATAGAACGTCTGATGGGATTACTGTAGGAAACTTTTTGATCAGAGACGTCAATGTAAGATTTAACAGAATTATATTCTACTATTGTAGACGGTTTTCTTTTTATTCCTGATTTTGTACGAACGTCGACCATTTCTGGACAAGATTTTGTAGTCAAAAATGTTACCTCTCTTTTGTCGATCCATTTTCCTACAATAACTTTTGTGTTGCTCTGTAGGGCCATCATATCTCCTTTATTTAGCTTTGCTTCAAACACCGACTTAGGATTGTATTTCCTATTTTTACGAAGTGTTCCAACTAGATGAATATTGTTATCATTTAGTGCGTGTGCCAAACTGACACTAGTATAAAAATTGTCCGTAACCAAAGTTCTTCCTGAGTGTAGAAAAGGTTGCATTAATTCCATGACCACTAGGGATGCTAGTGATTGTTCCTTTGGTCTATTTTGCTTTCCGCCATAAATTTTTGCGTGATATGTGTAGCCGCCTTTTCTGCAGAGTTTGAAAACTTTTACGCCATATTTATTACGTTTGCCAGGTATGTACTGTAAAAATGACAGACGTCCTCTAAAGGAAATCATCGATTCATCAATGCAAACGTATTTGCCTGGTACCAAAGCAGATTGAAAACTTCTATTGAACGACTGCAATAATGGTTCAACTTTGAACAATCTGCTTCTTCAGGACAAGCTTCATTATCTGAAAAATGGAAGCAAGCAAGAAGAGCCTCAAATCTACACCTCGACATGTTTGTCGTCTTGTATATTGAGCAATGATGGATAAAATTAGTGCTCCAGTAATCTCGTAGTCGTGATTTTGTATTCAAACCCATCCATATTAAAATTCCCAAAAATTTTAATATTTCTTCTCTGTTAGTATCATTCCAGTTAGTGAGATATGAATTTGTCTTAACGTTTTCACGATTTATAGCATCAATAATTTTTTGTTCAGCATATCGATTTGTTTCCTTCACTAAAATATCGAGTATCTCGTCTGTTAGGAGCAGTCTATAAAACGTTAAAGGTGTATTATTTTCCCTACTTTCTACAACTGTACCAAAAAAAGTATTTTCATGTATAACGTCAAATGTATTCAAATTTCCATCAACATCGTTCCATATAACATTTGCCTGTAAATTCCCTATACGAGGATTTACCATATCTATATTGTTTACATCTTCAATTTCAGATTCACTTTCGCTTATTTGCAAATTTAACTGTTCATGTTGAATTCTAGGTTGACTTGTAACATTATCATCCTAAAATAATTCAAAATTAGATATAACATTTGAAATTTATACGGAACTATAAACTTGACTTAAGTGTTTCCATTTTCTGCCGTTTTGTTTGTGGTTCATAATCTGAATCTGAAGAGTATTCAAGGGTATCAGAACTATCAGTGTATAATGGATCGACATCTGAATCATCAAATTCACAATCACTTATTTCGCTAAGATTTTCAGCCAGATGCTCAAGTTCATGTAAAGAAAGGTTTCTCTTGTTATTTTTAGACATTGTACATAAACAAACCCGATTACAATGAAGGTCTAACAGTGACTGGTATGGTGGTATGCCACTATTGCAACTCGACAATTTCGTGTCTCCAAATTTTATCTACAATGTTGCCAATTTTAATATGCTAGGATTACCGAACTAACATTGAAAATTGGTTACCACAGCCTAAAGGAATGATAATACACGTATAAATACACTACAACTGCGTTCGGACTACATACACATTACACAGTCGCTTGATTGCGTTCTACTCTTGTGTATCAAATTCATACACACAGGCTCAGAGAGAGTACCTATTGTGTATTATGTATGATACACATAGGAGTCAAAGTGTTAAACAAATAATTTTCTCCATTCTACAAAAGGCCAATATTGGTTACCTGTCAAATTGATTGTTTCTTGAATAAGAATGTAATAAATTTAAAAAACTGAATACCACTAAATGGTAAATTTAAAAGCCTTGAAAACAGGATGTTATCTCTTTTCATTAAAATCATTTTGACGGATCATTTTATACAAAGAAGCTGAGTTTAGAGCTTTTTATTCAGAAAGTGTAATTTTAGTAATAAAAATATATGTAATAATAGAGACTGTATTTTTGGAAAAAGAAATTTAAAGCATCTCAATTTAAATCTTTATTCACCTTTTACATCAACTATCATTTTATTTGTAAGTTTTGTTTTTCATCTTAAAATATCAGTTAGTCTTCATTTTTTTTTTATTGTCCAAATAGTCTGAAAGTCCATTTATAAAGGAAATAACCAAGTATCACAAAGAATGCAATCTTTACAAATCGGTCCAAAATAAACATTCTGAAAAATAAAAATATATTGTAACTGAATATTATGAATTTTAATTCTATGTCATATATCATTTAAATCCATTTGAAAATTTTACAATTTTTATACTACTATACATGAAAAAGAACCTACTACAGTAGTGAAGTGACTAGTGATAAGTGTAGTAGTGTCTGGGGACTCGAGAGACTGAGACCTCGGAAGCCCTGAAGAAGACATCAGAGAGGATTGTCGAAAGCTTGGCCCAATGGATATCGATGCGGAAGACAGGTGAATTTAATATTAATTTTTATAACACTATTAATCTTAGCTATAGGTTTAATTGTACTAACCGCGGAATTCTTTCCGAATATATATATATATATATATATATATATATATATATATATATATATTTATATATAATTCGAATATATATATATATATATATATATATATATATATATATATATATATGTTTTAAAATTAAGCTTTAGTATAGTTTAAGAAAAACAATTAGAGAAAACAAAAAAATATAAACAAATAAGAATGAAATTCAAATGATCTGGAATCTGGAAAAAATATAGAAATGCAAATAACAGGTGAGATACGCTAGGGTTTTATTTTATCTCATCTACTATTCAATGAATATGTAGAGCAATTATTCTAGATAGCCCCAGCGATTATATATTATGATAGCATTGATATTTTGCCAACAAGTAAATGGTAACAAGTTATGTCACCTTAGATTGACGACATTGTGATGAGACATTGTGATAAGAGTACATCCCAGTACATCGCGTCGGCCTAAAATTTTGCAATGCGAATAAGTCCGCCTAGGTCAAATTCTGAAACTGGACAAAGAGAACCAAACTACAGAAATCACAGAAAACTACAGAAAAGCATGACTGGCAGGCGATGGATTTAAAAATCTCAGTTGAATACTTTAACACTATCATCATCATTCATTCTTTTGCGTCCAAATTTAAACATAGACCTCCCCTCATTTCTTCCAGTTCTGTCGGTCTCGCGCTTCCTGCAGTCAATTCCCAGCGATTCTTTTGATGTCTGTCAATCGTGTAGGTGGTCTACCTCTTGTTCCATCAGCTCGTGGTCTCCACACTACAATTTTTTGGGTCCATTACTCGTCATTTATTCTGGCCACAGGGCCCGCCGAGTTCCACTACAGCCATGCTATGCACTCTACAACATCCACGATGCCTGCCCTTCTTCTTATTTCTTTGTTTTTAACACTGTTTCTGAGAATCCGTACAAATAGCGAGCGTTTTCCATTCGTCTTTAAGCTACTCCGAGTTAAGTTGCTGAAGCCTGGATTAAGGATTGGTCGAACGTCTTCTTTTTCAAATAATTTTATATGTTTAAGATATGTAATAGAGCTCTATATGCGGCCTTTGGATACTTAAGAAGTGCAAAATATCTCAGTACTTAGGAAGAGCAAAGTGTTTAACAATTACGTCCTTCCTATCATGAGATATGGATGTCAAACTACCGTCAGATAAAAGGAGGAGGACTGGGTAAGATCAAAAACAAGGGTCGAGAATATCACAACAAAAATTGTCAAACTCAAGGTCACGCTGCTATGCAAGGACACACTGCTATACACAAAGACTAACATTGTAGACCTTACACAGGTAGACGACCAAGAGGAAGACCACAAATGAGATAGGTAGAAGTATGTTCCAATTAAGGATTGGAATTAAGATCGATGGAAGGAGTTCGAAGAGGCCTATTTCCAAAAATATTCATCAAATGGATACAAAAATAGAGAAGAAGAAGAAGATATTACGCCGATGACACTGCCATACTCCCAGATGAGTTGTTGGATTTACAAGAACATCTGAGTGATGTCGACAGATTAAGTAAAGTATTTGACCAAGAATCAAGATTAATGAAACAAAAATTATGATTATTAGTAGACAAAAACATAATCAGACTCAGATGTTCTTTTTCTTGGTGTACCTATAGGTAAGGAATGTTGGCGATCATCATGGCAAACTTTATCTTGTCTACAGCAACGCTAAAAAGCTAAACAGATGTTGTGTTAAACCAGGTGGTAAAATTCTTGAACCAGGATGTTCTTCCTCTTTATGGACTTCGCCTTACAAATATTTTTTCCTCCAGAATGACTTATAGTGAGGCATATCTGATTCCATTTTACATAATGTGTCCGAAGTACTGTAGCTTTCGAGATTTGATGGTGTTCCGGAACTCTAGATTGTTTTTCTAAGGACCTCTTTAATTTTAATTACATTAGTCCACGATATCTTGAGTATTATCTAATACAGCCACATATCAAAAGTTTCCAATTTCTGCACATATCTTGGTTTAAGGTCTATGATAAAAAACGATCAAACAGAACAGAGAAGACGTAGCGTCATAGCATTCTTACTTTTATACCAAGAGGAAGATTGTAACTTCTAACCCTTATTCGGTTAAAGGTGGATCTTGCCTTTTCGATCCGCGATCTTATCGCCTGGTTGTTGGTCTATTTTTAATTTATTCTGGTGCCGACTTCATCTTTTCTACTGGGATTTGGTTAAAAGAAGAGTTGACCTTCTATTATCTTTTTTTTATAATTAATATAAGCTTTGTGTTCTTTACATTTATATTGAATCTATATTTTTGATTGTAGTATATGAATTTGTTCATAATGACTTGTAGGTCTACGGTTGTCCGAAAATTATATGCATATCTAGTGTTTTTAAGCCAGTATCTGTTTAGTAGAATACCTTTTTTCAATTTAATGCAAATTGACAGAATCTCAGTGGCTGAGATATACAAGAGTCTGTTGTGGAATTAAAAATTCAAATAAAATGTTTATATTTGTTAGAGAGAAACAAGCTTAAAGGTAATGTAGATTTCAGTAGAAGTTGACATTCTCTCTCTCCCCCCCCTCTCTCTCTCTCTCTCTCGCTCTCTCTCTCTCTCTCTCGCTCTCTCTCTCTCTCTCTCTCTCTCTCTCTCTCTCTCTCTCTCTCTCTCTCTCTCTCTCTCTCTCTCTCTCTCTCTCTCTCTCTCTAATCCTCTCCCTTTATAAGTCGTAGTTTTGGCATGTTTTTATTAGAAAAGTAAACCGGACCGGACGGCGGCTCTAGACTGAGATTCCAGATGGGAGACAAGTAGTATCGTTCCTCTCGATTGATATTATGTGGATTTTTTCGGATCTCTAGAGATTCGCGGATTTTCCTGGAATAAAAGAAGGGGCTCTTAGAAATAATATGGGTTTTTTCGAACAATATGGAGTGACCGGTTTCTTGGCAGTGTTCTGCAACTGCAGAATGGGAGAAAAGACCTGATCGAATGCATCTTTGATGCTCTTGATGCCCGCTACCACGATGCAGCCACATGATTGGCCAGCGCGCGCTTCTTGACGTTCGCGCCACGGAGTGTGCCGATACGTCCCGACACGACAGATCACCACGACTATAAATAGAGCGGTAGCGGAGTAATCGTCGGATTCACTCCCCGCCTCTCGACGCGTTAGTGTTCTGAGCTGTTGGACGTGAGTCCCTGTCCTGGCATTTGGTTTTCACCTCTGGCTGCGTTGAGTAGTTGAGTTACTGTGACCAAATGCCCATCTTGGTAGTTAGTATTCGCCTCTGGTTGCGTTGAGTAACTGAGTTACCGTTGCTAACTACCCATCTTCCTGTCTTCTTTTTCTTTTTCTTTTTCTTTGTTCTCCTGAAGAAGCTACATACAATTGTAGCGAAACGTCGAGATGAACCCACTTTTGGGTCACTCACAAATGACACGGTCCAAACCCGGAAGACAAATAAACTATAATTCTGTTATAGTTTATGATTTGAAGACCTAAAATGCTAATAGATCTAAGTGACGCTTTTGACAAATATCCTTTATTTGTTGCTTAGTGGTCAATTAGTGGTCCTTATGGCAATGTATTGCTTAAAGATCTATTTGCCAAACACTCTACAAAACGGTTACAAAAAATTCCAACAGAATGCTCTGTGTGTGACTTTACAGTTGGTGGAAATACTATTGGATCGATATGGCAAAATGTAAACAAACAATATTTTAAGCTTCAGCATAATGTGTCTTAAGAAGAAATCAGAGGATTTGTTTTATAAAGACAATCGAGGTGAGTATCTATAAATCAGAAATGGCGTATTTTAGCTCAGATTTAAATATAAGCAGACTGTTTATATCATTTACAGAAATACACCCTAATAGTATCGTAAGACAAATATTTCGTCGTAAAGGTTTTCTTAAAGACTTTCCTAAATTTTCTTTCAGAAGACCAAGAGTAGATACATGCAAAAAATATGATTACCTGCATATGCAAAACAAAATAAAAGAAAATATTTTAGCAAACAAAGCCAAAATAGTATTACAGTTACACAACCGACAAAGTGAAAAATCGTTAGATGTTCTAAAGAAAGATACAATAGATAGCACGATGCCTAACAGTGGCGTTTGCAGTACCGTGATAGACCTGATAGAACCGTATTCTCCTTATTAAAATTAGTACGCAGTGACATGAGACAATTATCGTGTAACAATTTTAATCTGCATATAAATAACACGAATGACGCCATTATGTGTATATGGTATGAAGGACAATCAGTAAGGGGAGGTAACCAGATGGCCTCATTTATTATGAAAAGTCCTTAATACAAGTATGCTATCAGCTATAAAACCTAATCTTGTTATCTGGAGTGATAACTGTGTAGGCCAGATCCAAAACCGCACGTTGGTTTTAATTTATTTTTGTCTAATAGCATCAGGGCTATTTTAGTCTTGGTTCCACGAACTTCAAGCCCCTTCCAAGTTCTCAGCATGGACAGGTTTTTTGGCTTTGAGGAAGCTGCCTCAAAGTACATCAACTCAAAAAAATTATACGAATTTCTCAATTTTCTTGTCTTAAGACTGACAAAAACAACCCTGGATTTGTGCTAAGTGAGCAAAAGTTTAATGAATTATGTGACTGGGAGAAATTTCATGTTCTCAAAAAGATATTTCTATCAAAGACATAGCTTCTGTGCAGCTCAACACCTTATCAGGAGTGGTTCGATTGGCCGAAAAAAGAAAAAGGATCTCCAGAACATGCTAGAGTTTATTGATGAACCTAAGAGGAAGTTTTACCAACAATTGTGTGAAGACACTTAGATCTGTTAAAAGAGACTATATCAATGGACTTAAATCTGTTCATAAAATAGTTAGTAATAAATTGCATAATATTGTTAAGAATTATTGAAACATTATAACATAAGCATATGCAGTTATTGTAATATCTTAAAACAATATTGTTAAGAATTATTGAAACATTATAACATAAGCATATGCAGTTATTGTAATATTTTAAAACATTTTTTGTAAAAATATAATGAATTTTGTGATGACGGTTAGACCAAGAAACACGTGTCAGGGAGTGGTAAGTGACTCAAATTAGAAATGCAACCTTCTTCGTATATTTATCGTCCTTACTCGACGCAATGAGTACAAGCATGATGGTAATTTATATGGGTAAATTGTTGGTGCATAGTGGTATATTATTCCCAGCACCGCTCTGAATGGCTTGATTAAGCTTGGGTATACAGTTTACTTTAATTTCTATCGACCTATCTTCATCGAATTTTGTGTAAACTATTCGTTTACCAAAAATTTGGTTTTGGCACTTAGATCAACTAACATTTCAGGTCTTCTATATACTGACCCACAAAAGTAACCAAATATGTAAAATTATATAGTTTTCTCCTTTTAGTTTTGTTAAAATGAACTGTGTAGTAAATAATGATATTTATCAAAACAAAAGTTGCTTTTATGCATTCGTTTGTGATTTTAAATGGTTAAATAGTTTGTCATTTTTAATGGCTGAAAAGCTAGTTGTTACAAAATAAAGCTTGTTAAATTGATTTTATTCCTTTTTGGTGTATATTGACAGCTTTTTTTGGGAGAAAAGTGTTTGTAATAACAAAGAATAATTTGTAATAAGGCCAGATCAAGTAGCGCAAACTGTTAAGCTTTATAATTAAGGCCGTTCCATTCGATATATCCAAAACGAAACTTTACAAAGATGAAGGGAAACTGGTTCTTACTTAAGAAGACTTGTAGAGGGAAGACGTCCTAGACGTCCTAGACTCTAGACAAGGTCTACAAACGCGAAAGATCGGTTTCTTAGACTACAAGTGCTGCGAGAGCGTACAGTTACTGCAACAGCTCTGATTAGGAGTCTGGTAGATGTTCATGGTACCATAGTTTCACCTGAAACCGTATGTCAAAGATTAAGCGAACAAAAGTTACCATCTTATGTACCTACTACAGGGCCTTTATTGGACTCAGCTCATCAAAGACAATACTTGGAATTCTGTCGGTCTCATGCAGATTGGGAAATAAAAGATTGGAGAAACCTTCTGTTTACAGACGAATCTTATTTTACGAGATATTAAACTGATTTAGCCGATAAAGACTGTGTAAAAGGTCTGGAAAACGCTATGCCTAATGTTAATTAACTGCTAGAATACAGTTTGTTGGTGGTGGTATAATGGTATGGGATGGCATTTCTTGGCAAAATTTGGGAAGACTAGTTAGGTAAAATTATAAGGAGTTTAAATCTATGGCAGCGTTAAAACAGGCGCTAATAAATGATTGGGAAAAAATATTGCAGAACTAGATTGCTACTTCCAGTCTATGCCAGAAAGGATGCGAGCTAATAGTTATTCGAGCTAGAGAAGGAAATAGTTGATTTAAGTATCCATATTTTAGAAATACTTTGTTATTTTTGATTTAAAAAATATCTTACACCAAAGTAAAAAAAGTTAAAATTTTTTATTTGCTGTTATATTAGTTAATATTTTGGAATTTGTTTTTAATTTTTTGGAATTGAGGTTTCTCTAATAATTTTTCTTTTACTTAAAATAAACTTAGTGTACGGTTATTTTTGCGAAGCAATGTAGTTATGTAATGACTAACACCTTAAGAAATGTGATATACTTACATTTTCATATTTCTTCTTGCCGCTGGAAGCATATCATCAGTTTCTTTTAATATATGACGACGGCAAGTTAAAAGGGCTTCGACTAAGTACTTTTTTAAATTAATGTTATCAGCCTTAACAAAATAAGTTTTTAGTTCTCGTTCATTTAATGCCTCTCTTACGGCAAATATTACTTTTGTTTCAAAATCCCAAGCCCGTGTTGTATAGAATTCGAACATTTCAGTTCCTTTGTTTATTCTCATTTGAATATTGTACAAACTAAAACATAAACATAATTTGTAATATAAAAATCAACAATTAAGTTTCTTAACAAGTTAATGAGCAGAATAAAACTTAATTAAGCGAATTATTTATCACCTGAAAAAGGAGTTTATAAACAGAAATAACTGGTACAACGAAAAATCAAATAATTCCATTATATATATATATATATATATATATATATATATATATATATATATATATATATATATATAAGAGTAAGAAAAAAGAAGTACTTGTGACTCGTTTGGAAAAAATATAACACTGTTTTTGATGGGTTGGAGTCAATAAAACGGGCTATTTGTTGACTATTTTTTACTCGAGCTTTCAATTGTGATTACAATTTTTATCAAGAGCTTCTAAAAAATACAAAATGTCTTACAAAGTTGAACTAGAAATAAAAAATTTTTTTGTTAACTCACCAAATAAAATTAGTTTTCTATATAAAACTACTGCTTACATAATAAATATAAAAAATATTAATAAAAAAATGCCTTATTCTAATAAATGTTTCTCTGAAAAATTTAGATGAAGTTTCTTAAGAAAAAAATTGAATTTATAAACAAAAATAGAATAGCTACAACCAGCCTAAAATGTCATAAATACTAACTTAAAAATTTGGTTTAAAAAATTCTTCTTTGTTTAGTAACAAAAAAGAAGAAGATTTATTCACCATTGATATATAATAATTTAAACAAAAGGTCAGAAATTAAAAATTTAAGCAACATTTATAATTATATAATTTCTATTTAATTTATGCAGTCAATAAAATATCACATTTTGAATTTTCCATGTATTTGTTACATTTTTTCGGGCATCTATCAATGGTGAATAAATCTTCTTCTTTTTTGTTACTAAACAAAGAAGAATTTTTTAAACCAAATTTTTAAGTTAGTATTTATGACATTTTAGGCTGGTTGTAGCTATTCTATTTTTGTTTATAAATTCAATTTTTTTCTTAAGAAACTTCATCTAAATTTTTCAGAGAAACATTTATTAGAATAATTAGAATAGGCATTTTTTTATTAATATTTTTTGTATTTATTATGTAAGCAGTAGTTTTATATAGAAAACTAATTTTATTTGGTGAGTTAACAAAAAAATTTTTTATTTCTAGTTCAACTTTGTAAGACATTTTGTATTTTTTAGAAGCTCTTGATAAAAATTGTAATCACAATTGAAAGCTCGAGTAAAAAATAGTCAACAAATAGCCCGTTTTATTGACTCCAACCCATCAAAAACAGTGTTATATATATATATATATATATATATATATATATATATATATATATATATATATATATATATATAAGAAAAAAGAAAATATATATATATATATATATATATATATATATATATACGGATACCTTGGGTTTAGTAGTCAATATTGGCCTTTAAGTAAAACTCTTTTAGGTTTGTTAAGCTTTCGAGTTTACTGTACTCTTTTTCAAAACGTACTAAAAATTAACATAAAAAACTACATTAGAAAAATGAAGTTGTTATATCTTCAATAGGCTTACCCTTGTGAGGAGTGTGTTTTAAAATTAAAAAAATTAATTAACATAATGACATTACTAAATTTGATTTTCTTTTTCGTTCTGTAAAAACTTATTACTAAAGTTTACATGTCTCTTCTATTTTTTATATTTTTTTAGGTTAGTTAGACAGAGGAAGTGTTTATGTTTATGCAAACCTTCATTGCAAATTTTGATATAATATGTAGAAATGTTTCGTTTGTAGTTATTTACAACATTATATATATATATATATATATATATATTAATGTGATATTAAAAGTCTGAAGTGCGCCAAGCAGTTAATTAGCTAATTAATTAATCTTTTTTAAAAGATGCAGTTAGGATTCTATCACACTATTTAATTCTCTTATCTCAGGATTATACTCGGGCTTCAATATCTATGCTTTACATATGATAGGTAAGGTCCAAAGAATACCGGAATAAGAAAAAGCATATATGATACAACATTATATATTGAAATAAAAATATATTGAAAGAAAATTCACACTCAATTATCTTCAATACAAAATATCTCATAATATAATGATTATTCAAATTTTGTTCTACGTACATGAACCTTCAAAATTTATGGTATATACAATATAAATTTAAAGTCTCAAATCAAAATTGTTGTTCTAAATCTCCTGATCAAAATATTCTTATCTTTTCTTAAGCAATTGTAAAAACAAATGTGTTGTTAATAAAGAAAAACTGATGAATAGTAAAATTATCTCTCGAATGATGAGTTGTCCAAATCCTTGTACCTTGTAGGAAGGAACTAAGACTATCTATTCTTAGCAGTCCCCTAGGTAATCAGCAATCTTACAACAAATTGTTGCGAGCCTATCGTCTTTAATAATCTCCTTCAAATGCACGTATCGTTCAAATTATGCTAGCCTCTTCTCCTCTCGATAAACTGAATCTCTCGTTCTGGCGTGAACAGTGACTCTTGGAATATAAGTAGAAAAATATAACTTACAATATTTTACTGGATCAGCTTCTGTCAGATACACTAACTCCACGAAAAACTCGCAAACATTCACTTCTACTGCTTCCTATCTCTGGGGAAACACCAGAGAACAACGAGTGTTCGCCTTGTACGAGTTTAAATCAAAGATGTTACAGTGGTGACCAGCGTTTGTTACTGTAATAAACGCCGTTTTCTTACTGCATGTATGATATTTCGGTACGGTATGTCGTTTTGTATCTGTATTTTTTTCCAACGAAGGTATGTTTTTGTAATTTTTAAACATTCGGAGCGACCTGATATCGAACTTGTGTAATACGCGTTAAACTAGGTCGAATTTTTATTCTTTGTTTAATTTGAAATGTATACGTTAAACTATGTCCAATGTTTCATTCTTTATTTAATTTGGAGTATATAATAATTATTTAATTAATTATTATTATTCTTCTCTAGGCCAACTAGCCCTTATTTTGTTTCTTTTATTTTTTTGCTATGTTGACTTGTTACATACCGGGCTAACAGATTCATGATTGCACTTGGGGGTAAGGTTGTTTCCTTTGGGTAAGGGGCTGATACATTACAGTGTGACAAAGATGCTAATGACATGCTAGTAAAAGTAAAATAAAACTCCCCAAGACCAGCTATGATGTATACAGCTGAAAGAAGACCTGATGAAAAACACTTATGGATATATCGATACTATTCTAAAATTCAATAAACTATGCAGAACACGTAAACATTAGCAAGTGTTACGTAAGACGTAAACATTAGCAAACATATTTGAGAAGCAGCACAGTTTGTTTACTAAAGTAGTATTGCATTTTTTCAAATTTTTAAAGTAATAAATCGTATAATGGAGTCAACGTTACTTCCATAGCTAGTAATAAAGCACGAAAAAGACAACGTATTACTGCATCAAATATTTTTGTGTATATCTGTACAAACATGGATTTTACTATTAGGTATAGTCCACATTCACTCCCAATTTATCCGAAATGTGGATATAAAAGTGGTGCTTTTCAATGTACCTTACTACAAATAAACGAAATAAAACGTTTCCACTCTGAATTTTATGAGACAACGGAGAAAACCTTTCAAGATAATTTTCTGCTAAAATATTACAAAACAGTTATTGATCAGTTAATACAGTTACAAAAAATTTCTATAGATTTTCCTTTCCTGAAAAGGAAAATCGAGGTGGCGATAAGAAGCTGGAAAAGTACACGTTGAAAAAAAATGCTGTTATGAATTTTATTAACAAATTCCGCGTAATTATCCGCGTAAGAATCTCATTATTACCCAGGATATAGCCAACGATTATATCTGGATTCTTCTTTGGGTATAAAATCGATGTGAAGAATGTACTTATAAGAAAATGAAAACCTTCCAGTAAAAGAAAGCTATTTCAGGAAAATATTTAATACACAATATAACTTTGGTTTTGGTTCTCCTAGAACACATGCATGTTCGACATGCTTACAATTGACAGAAAATAAAAGCATGTCATGATAAGGATATGGAATCATTATTCACCCATACATTAAGATTCAAAGCATTTTCTAACCTTTTAAGGGAACGGGACGAACTTTATTAGTTTTCTAGAGAAAATCAGAAAAATTGAAGCAGTATTCCCAGTAAGAGGACATTGTTTCATGCCACCAGATCGGGTTTTTTTGAATATCGAAAAGGATATTAAACAAAAGGAAATAATTCTGACCCCACATGAATATCTGAAGATGTTTTCAAAGTATAGTACTGTTCATAAGGTTGGAGAAGTAGTCGAAGTATATGACTGAAAAAATAAAACAAGCAAACACATTAAGGCATCAGGACAATGACATTTTATTTTCTCAAAAATGAAGAGGATTATTTTAACTAAAAGCTCTCAAGATACAGTGTTAATTTGGCGAGTTAGCTTGTAAGGACGATATTGGTGTGGGAAATTCAATAACAAAAAAAAAACTAAAAATGAAAGAATGAAACCTGCCAAAATTCCGAAACATAATGTCATTGTCAAGTAAAACAAAAAGGTTGATGTGAATAATTTATTAGGTTGTCATTTTGAAGCTGACTGGAAAATTGATCCTCGTTTAGTTTTTACAAATTCATCATCATCGAAGACAATCGACAATATAGCACCAGAAAATGAAACCGTCGACGATGAAGAGTTGTATGAGAATGCTGAAGAGGATGATGGGCTTCCCATTTAATTAACCACTTTTGAATAATTAAAAGTGTTACTTTCTAATTTTTTGTCATCTGACACCATTATTTTATCTCTGTGAACTTTTTTTGACTAAGAATTGTATTATCCCAATAAAATAATAAAAAGTTTAATAAATAGTGTTCGTAAGTTATTTTCAATGTGTACAACCTCCATTTGTTATTTTCATAAAGTACAATATCCAAATATTTTTCTAGAATTACTTAGTTATTTTTGAAAAGTTTATGGAAAAAATTTGTATATAGTATATAGTTGTCATATAAATGTAATAGAAAAGAAAAATTAGTTTGATTGTTAATATTAAATAGGATATTCGTTTATCTCGATAACTGAAAATTTAGGAAATATGGAGCGTTGGTGAAAACTGTCAAATCCCCTCTACTCATCGGCTCACAGCGAATAGCAAAATAGTAAATCTGGTCCGATGGTCCGAGCCTGCTTTAGTTGCTGACGATTTCGAGTAGCAACTTATTCAGCAAAATAGAGGTGGTTATTTCGTTTAGTTTTTCAATATTCTTGGACAATCGTTACTTGTATAATCGTTTAAATTATTCATTAATTTAATTAATATGATGATTTTTCACTAACTATGTATTCAATGATTACAATAATTTATATATTATACAATAAAAGCTAATAAACGAGAAAAGAAAAAAATGATAAAGTGATCTTAATATTATACTGTTACTATCGGAACGAGTAGGTAAATTTTGAACATCTTAATTAAAAACAATTAAAATACAATTTTATCGTTGTTTACACGCCCTGCATCGTTGTTTATTGAAATTTAGTTTAGTTAATATTTATATAATTCACTAGTAATTTACTGTAGTAGATCTCTTTCCTGTAAAATGTAAACGAAATGTTTAGCCAGTAAATTTAAAAAGTTTTAAAATTAATAAATAAACTTACATCGGTTTGTATCCCAAACAAAATAATATTAAGTCTATAAATATCGCAGGGATCAATTGAAACAGGAAGAAATTAATTTTAGCATAAGTTTTACTTTTTGTCATTGTACCACCAGGATACCATAAAATCCCGTTGAAAGGTATATCCGTTTCAATAACCTCCTGAGCAGTATATAAAATTGTTTCCCAGTTTTCTTTAAAGTCTGTTTCTGGGACACAGATATTGAAAATATATGGAGCACCCCTAAAAATATATTTATCGTATAAGTTTTAAAGAATTTAACAATTGATTTCATTCATAAAGAAACTTCTGTAGTAGAGGTAATTAACTTTAGTAAGAGCTGTCATACCAAAGTAGTACACAAATTTATGATTAAAAGAAGTTGTACTATCCTGATGATTACGACGGCTTAATTTTATGTGGATTAATTTACTTTACAGTTAAAAAAAAATATGAATTTATTCTATCAAACATTTTCAAATGTTTTTAATGTCAAAAAAACTCTACCTGGGAGTTATGAACGCGATGACTGGGTGGATTGAGTAGCTCAGAAGTCGCTTTCATGCCCACAGACGGTCCCCAACCTGAATAAAAGAGGAGGGTTTATGGGCCAGGTTAGCATCCTACCAATTGTAAACGAAAACAAGGCTAAAAGAACCAATATAAAGCCTCGGAAACAGACGGAACCTAAGATGACGAATCACGCAACAAAAAAGAAAACGAGAAGGAAAAATAAGCCCACAATCAGATTAGCAACATAGAAAATTACTTCTTTCAACAACAAAGATCAAAAGGTAATAGAAGAACTGATAAATAAAAACATAGACATTTGTGCAATCTAAGAAACCAAGAAGAGAGGTAAAGGCCAAAGAGAATATAACCAATATTTACTAGCATACAGTGGAGTGAAGAAAGAAAAACGAGCACGAGCAGGCGTATACGTACAGTTCATAAAAAATTTAAAGACAACATAAATAACTGGCGTTATATCTACGAAAGAATAATACATATGAACATCACAATAGACTACCAAAAATTAAATGTCATCTCTATCTATAGCCCCGAGGACTGCAAACCTAAGGAGAAACGAGAGGCATTCTACGAACAATTGCAAACCACCCTTAATGAAATACCTGATGAAGAGCCCTTAATTCTTATGGGTGACTTTAATGCACGAAATGAAATAGTTCCAGGAATAAAACAAAGATTTAATGAAAACCAACAATGATTGTGATGCCTCCTATGTAGGTAGAACCATCAGAAAGTTATCCACTAGAGTCTCTGAACATTTGAAAATACCAAATTCTTCAAGTTTTGGTCAACACTTAGTATCCAGCAACCACAATTTTAACATCAATTCTGGTTCATCTATCTTACATGACATTAGTAGAAAGAAAAACTATCTTGAGTTGGATTTATTGGAAGATTTGGAGATTACAAGGGAAACAAATGAAAACTCTGACTGTCTTAATATCAAATCAATTTAAATTGTACTAAATTTAATCCTATATTTAAAAACTTTATTACAGCTTCACCTCGTAGAGGACCCAGCTGTTTAGACTTCATGCACTGAGCATTTCAACATTAATTTTAAAGTTCTTCCATTGACTGTGGATTCAACTGAACTACTTGGATTATAACCCATTTATATATTTTGCTTTCAATTTTGATTTTAACTTTTAGTAATTTAACTACATATTCAGATTTTTCCTTTTTTACAGTACTGATAGTGCTTGGTGGACCATTTTATTGTAGTCAACCATCCACTGTCTAATAATATATTGTTTAGTCTTTTCTTACATTCATACTTTATGTCAACTTCAATTGCTCTCAAACTAACATCCTAATTATTATAGACAGGTTTGAGTGTGAGATTTGGGTTATTCAATCTACATAAAAAATATACTATATAATTTTATATTTCATCAGTTGATTTCCTATAGTGGTGTCAGTTGGACCTTTGGTCAATACTTAGTTTCATATAATTTTGAAAGGTGCAGATCACATAACTGCCCTTTACAAGCTGTCATTTGTCACATGTCATCTCAATATTTCCGCCAGACCGGGAGCCCATTCTGTCTCCGGCTTCTATATAACATGTAGCTTCTCCTTTTTAAAAAATTTTAAAGTGTTTGTTTGTCTTTGTGTATTGTATTATTATGTCCAAATTTACATGTACGACATTCTACTCATGTCTGTTAGGCCACAACTGACGAAGTAAGTCTATAAACGTTTATCACATTAAAACTTTTTTTAACCATAAACTTGGAGTTTTTTATCCAAGTGAATTAATTTTCCTTTTTATAAAAAAACGTTTCTTGGCTTATTTCAGATGCCCCTGAAGATGATCTATTGATCGAAAAAACTTGGGCAAGATTTAATTAATTACTGTGTTCGATAGTTGCCTTGTATACTATCAAAGTTTAAAAATCTATAAAGCAGCAATTAGACCTTTATTAACATACACGGCGGAGACAAGACCTGACACATCTAAAACGAGACGACTGTTAGAATTAACAGAGATGAAAATACTCCGACGAATATTAGGGAGAAGTCTATCTGAATCTAGATAGGGTGAGAAGCGAAAACATAAGAAGAGCATGCAATATAGAAGACATAAATGAATGGGTGACAAAACGAAAACAGGAGTGGAACGAACGCATCAGTGAAATGGCAGAGGATAGAATAGTACGAATAGCACGAGATAAGTTACCAAATGGACGAAGAAGTATTGGTAGACCAAGAAAAAGATGATGCGCCAATTTAAACAATTTAGGAGACTCATTGAAGAAGAAACACTCCTTTAAAGCCTACATACTAGAAGGAAGAAAAAGAAAAGGAAACATTTTCAATAAATTTACGTTTTATATGTGGCATTACTACACCAAGTGAGAACTGTGAGCGCAATATACAAACTAAACCTTAATATTAAGAAAACTAAATTCATAGTTGTCAGCCGTGCAAATTTAGATCTTTTCGGAACCTCGGAACTACCCTCTACTCACAATGGGACTACGCTCTAGAGATTAGATCCAGAATTGAAATGGCACAGTCTACATTTATCATGTTAAGATCTTTGCTGTGCTGCAGTGATCTCAGTTTGGAAACCAAGATGAGGATAGTGAGGTGCTACATTCTCCCAGTGTTACTATATAAAGTTGAAGCCTGGACACTAACGCAAGCCACAGAAAAGCGGATTGAAGCCTTCGAGATGTGGATCTATAGAAAAATACTAAAAATATCGTTGGACTATGTCACCAACGTTCAGGTTCTACAGCGCATTAAAAGAAAAAGAAGTGCTTAATTTAGTGAAAAAACGTAAGCTTAAGTATCTCGGGTACTTTATGCGTAAGGAAGAAAAATATCGACTTCTTCAACTCGTTATGCAAGGTAAAGTATTTGGCTTAAGAGAACCGGGACGCCGTCGTATCTCTTGGTTAACAAAACCTCCGACAATGGTTTGCAATGACCTTCGCGGAACTGTTTTGCAAAGCAGTCAACAAAACCATGATAGCCTTGATGATCGCCAGCATCCGGACCGGATATGCCACTGAAGAAAATGAAGAAGAAGAAGATGTGGCATTTTGCAAATTTTGATAATAAAAAATTATGATTTTTTTATTAGAGCCGTATAGATACAAAAAAATTATGCATAAGTAACATCAATATTTTAATCAATTGATAACCATTAATCAAAGTTCCTTACTTTACGTTAAGGTAATACCAAGAAAATACCAATAAACCAGCCACAGCGGCATCCACTGGAATAAGATTTGCGTACGATTTGCTATCCATATACATACATCTAATAACACCTTTACCAGCACCGACAAATAGGCCCATAGGTCCTTGTAAATTATTTGCCCAACCAGGTATTGGATCTTGAAATGAAGGAATAACTAAAAAATAATTATTTGCATATTAGGTTAATATAATAATAGAACTCTTACTCTACTAAACGTTTTTTAAGGAACAATTGAGCAAAAAGCAATAAATCCAGTTTTATCCTTAATAAGGAACAATTGAGCAAAAAGCAATAAATCCAGTTTTAGACATTTTTTTAGTACCTAAATACTACAAAGTACTTGGTTTAGTTCAATCTACATTATTAACTACTAATTTCTGGAAATCTGCTTTAAATCCAATATATATTGCTATATGAATAATTCAAAACTAAACAAAATGCATTAAATATCATGCTAAGACCAAGCAAACTGATATATATCCATCATATTTAACCAAACTGCAAAAAATTCTTGAAAAATTATTTCTGTGAAAGTTTTGTTTAGTCTTCGCAAATTACCAAAAAAATGGCAATCACAGTTCTGTTCATTTTGTTATAAGGAAGAATGTATTTTGCTTATTTAGGTACACTTCCCGTCATATAAAACAGGTACACTTTTTTCCCAATGTAAATCTGTGTTCAGAAATCAATTCGTTGTTGCCATTACAGATAATGGAATTGCACTAAATCTAAATAAAAAAATAACGTTCAAAAATGTATAAAATTTCTAGGTATTATTTTTATCATTACCAAAAAAAAGTGAATCTAAGAAATTAAATAAGCAGAGATAGGGATAAGATATTATTCAAAATGTTTGAAGGATTTTAGGACCTAGGGTATTGGTACAGGGAATATTGGAATGCATCTACTGTAATTTTATATTTCAATTACCTACCGAACTCGAACTATATTCTGTGTCAATAATTGTAACAGGCAAACTACCCAGTCTAATTTATTATTTATTACAAGAACGATAAAAAATGTGTAAAACTAACAACTAAATGTGTAAAACTAACCTCGCTCTCGCTCATTTAATACTCTTTATCATGTAACACCCATAAAGGGTACTAGACCCACAAGAGTTTGTCTAAAATTCTTGTCAAAAGCTCTAGGAATTAGTGAGCGAAGAATAAATACAGTTTTTAAAAAGAAACACAATACTGTTGCACTAAAAGAATGGAGGGAATGAATGAATGAATCAAAGAGAAATCTAACGGTAACCAATATATGGTTCGTCAAATGGTGATACTTGAAACCATTTGTATATATACTTAAATGTAAAAGGACACTCTAGTTGCAGTCCTCAAAAAAGAAAATGCCACCAAACCTCTAAGAATCAAACGAACAATCTGAATTTTGATGAAAGTGTTAATTTGGAGACCCCAAAAATATGCAAAAAGTTTGCCACTCCTATCCCCGAGCATCCCCCTAAAACCCCTAAACCGCCCCTCGTAGTTGAATGGGGGGGGGCAACGGAAAAGTTAGCCAAAATAACATTTAAAAAAATGTATATTAACACTTTGTAGAATGAACCGTTTCTCAGTAACAACACGTGAAGCGACCGGCGATTCAATGCGAAATCAATTTTTAAATATAATTTGTATTAACTTGAAGGTAACAAGTTGATATCTTTTGATCAGAGTGTCATATTGACAAAAACTAAAATGGAGTGTTAAACATAAAGAATGTAGCTTTCTTAGTCAATTTTTGCATTTTGCCACAATTAGCAAAAACTCTCAAGGTAATCATTTTTTCTTTTTATTTATTGTACTATTACATACACCTAAAACTGTTATTAACTAAACTATAACTGAAGAGTTATAGAACAATGTTTGCGAAAAAATATGAAAAATTGCCCAAAAATGGTGTCGGTGAAGAACTTTGAAAAATATTTTCTCATACACTGAATCATATGGACTTCTATCAAATATAATTTAAAAGAAAATGTTTTGTAAAGCAATACCTATACCTATACCCATGTGGAAAAAAAAGCAAAAAACCAAATCGCGGGTGTTGCTGGTTTTTTGGTTCGTTTTCCAAATGTTTGTCAAGATATAATTATTATTTCACATTAACATAAAAAAGTCACATTTCGATAGAAAGTTTAATTTTGAACAACTTTTCTGTATATGTATATGCCAGAAAATTGCATAAAATTCATCCAAATGCACCCTAGCACACAGTGGTATTTAAAAATTACTTTTTTTATTTTAACCTAAGCTACCACCGGTTAGTTGAGAGGTGAAAAATTAGTAAAACTCGACCAGAATCATGTGGCATTTCAAACTTTCTATTTGAATTAGCTCTTAATATTCGAGCTTCCGCTTAATAGCTTAATATTGACTTCCCACAAGGAGTAGTTAAGAAAGTGAAAAATTAATAGGGTGGTAATAAATTTGTAAAAACCTATTAAAACACTGTGGTACTTCAAAAATATATATTTAATTCTGCTTGCTCGAATATTCAGCTAGCGGGAACGTTTCCAAATAAAATTGGTTTAGAGGTGCAAGATTATTAGGGTGGTTAAAGTTTAGTAAACATTTAAAAAACAGTTTTTTATTTTAGTTCTAAGTAGAGAAGAGTGAATTTCAAAAAAAAAAAGAATTTTTCCTCTTAAATTTTAATTTAGCAGAAATATTGACTTTTCCTAAGGGATAGTTAACGGGTAAAAATGACTAAGGTGGTAAAAAATTTATAAAAACATGCAGAGCACTGTGGTATATCATAAATATATTTTTTTTTTGAAATCTATAGTTATAATAGGTTTTACCGTTAGCTAGCAAAATCGCTCCCCTTAAGGGTGGTTTGGTGGTGAAAAATTTTTAGAGTGGTAATAAATTAGTGAAAAATGGGTAAAAAATATGCCGTAGGCAAAAAAATTGTTTTTTGAATTCTGCTAGCTTGAACCTTAATCCAGCGAATCCCTCCCCTTAAGGTTGGTTTGGTGGTGAAAAACTATTAGGGTGGTAATAAAGTAGGGAAAAAAGGGTCCTTTTACTGGGACTACCTAAAATAACTTTTTCCTTCTAGAAGGACATTTTTTAATAAATCAAAAACTTAAAGATCTAATTGTGTTTAAAAATCTTTAAAAAACTAATGGAAAAAAGCTGGCAAGTTTCAGATTTTTATTTGTGTTATTTCTTGTAGCGTGACTGAAAGGGATAACTTACCTACTGCAGGTCGGCAGATAACTAAAGGTATCTTTCCAACTTGTTCGTAAACTAAATTTTCAGCTAAGGCTTTAGAGAATGTGTAAGAATTAGGAATATCACCAAGAATTCTACAAAAAAGTTAAAATTATAAATTTGTTTAAAACTCTTTTATTTTTATAGACCTTAAGCGTCAACTGTGCCTTTCTTAATTCCAGAAGTAACCAAGTTAAAATTTTATAGGCTAATATCTGCTCATGTATAAATAATTTGTGATTTAAATTATTGTTAATGTTAATTATTTAAAATAGAAGGGTAATTCACCACGGTAATCAGGTTAATCAATAACTATTTTACATAATGTTTATTATTAACTATTCTTACACAGTTTAAATCCTATTTAAAAATCTAATTTTCATCACAATCAAGTGTGGCATAATCCCATAAAATTACAATATTTAACTTGCCACATGCCACACGAAAACAGTTTAAGAATCTTATTAGACGCGTTATTTATTAGTTTCAGTAAGAATTGCCTCTTTTCACTTTCTTGTTATTGAAATTATGGTTTCTACTTTTCGGTAGAGACTTTGTGCACATTTCGGGGCTTCCTGTTATTTTAACTTGACTGCAGTACTCACTGGACAGGTCAAATGTCAAGAGGAAGAACAAAAGTTGGACCAACGCCAAGGGTAAGAGAGAAATATGCTGGAAGTTGAAGGTAGAAAAGTGAGTCAGACTGTATGAGTCAGACTGTGGGAAAGAAATGCCCGTCTGGGAGTGATGCTATAGTAGGAGCGATCAGAATCTTCCACGCGTTATCTAGAACTGGATTCCTCTAAAAAAACGTTCTTGGGACCAAAAACGCACTGCACTTTTTAGTCTACAGGTACTCATCCAGCGCAGCAGAGATCTAAACAAAGACGTGTACATATGCTTTATAGACTACGCAATAGCATTCGATAACGTAAAGCACGAAAAGATAATTGAAGTTCTCCATAAGATCGGAGTCGACTACAGAGACATTCGAACAATAGCGAGTCTCTATTGGGGTCAAACAGCTAAAGTGAAAGTAGGATCTACATTGACCAATAAAATTGAGATCAAGAAAGGGGTACGACAGGACGGTATCTTGTCTCTTATTCTCTTTAATATATACTCAGAAGAAGTATTTAAGACAGCGCTGGAGGAAAGCATAGAAGGCATAAAGATGAGCAAGTAGTGATTCTAGCAAGTAGCATGGAGGAACTGAGCTGCCTAATGAGTAAGATACAAAAAAACAAGTGCACAATACGGACTCAGACTAAATATCACAAAAACCAAACGGATGTTAGTTAGCAAAACCCAACAACTACCACAGCAACTGATATTAGACAACGAAAGAATTGAACACGTGGATTCGTACATCTACTTGGGAACAACAGTTAACTCAAATTGGGATCAAGCGAAGAAAATACGTATAAGAGTAAAAAAGGCAAGAGCATCTTTCACTAGCATGAAGCAAATTTTCACCTCTAAAAGCCTCACCCTACCTCTCAAAATTCGACTTCTGAAATGTTATGTATTCCCGGTTTTGTTATATGGAATGGAGGCGTAGACAATGACCACAATATTGATGAAAAACGTAGAGGCCTTCGAAATATGGGCTTACCGACCTATATTACGTATATCCTGGACTGAACACGTGACCAACGAAGAGGTACTACGCCGGATAGGTAAAGAGAGAGAGAGAGAGAGAGAGAGAGAGAGAGAGAGAGGTAGGAATAAGTATAAAGAAAAGAAAGTTGGAATACTTGGGTCACGTTATGAGACATAATAAATATAGAGTACTACAGCTGATCGTTCAAGGGAAAATAGACAGCAGAAGGGACCAAGGAGGAGAAGACACTCGTGGCTCCAAAACTTACGGCAACGGTTCGGATTGTCGTCTGCTGAACTATTCAGATCTTCCGTAAACAAAGTCAGAATAGCCATGTTGATTGCCAACGTTCGGAACGGACAAGGCACATGAAGAAGAAGGGACCAAAAAAAAGAGACACGGGAAAAAGGGATAAGGAACCTTTTTGCTGACAGTCTGTGAATAAATAAAGGTAGTGCTTTGGAAGTGATGCCGGCCTTAAATTCCGCTTCCGCTTCAGAATCGCTGAATGACAGAGGAGGGTCTGGTTTAGCAGGTAGGCGTTCGGCGTAGACTCGACGAAGAGATGGCGTTTTAAAGTACCTCGGGAACTGTCGCCTGGAGTCCAATGAACAAATTCTGAACTAAGGTCAGTCAGGCGACGTCCTGGACTAAGATTTTTTTTTTTTGAAGATTCCAGACTATGACTTGATTCTCTCTATAAAGGCAAAAAAAAGGTCAAATGTCTTAACTTAAACTCAGAAACTAGAATTTTCTGTCAAAGGTCATAATTTATTGTTCTTCATAGGTCTCTGGTCACTGTTTATGTCTATATTTATAAGAAAATAGGTAGGCTTAAAAAGCAAATATGTAGGATTTAAACTCTGGCCTTACTATCTTGATTTTGACATAATACTATTCTTCATTTTATATTAGACGTATTTTAAAGTAGGAAAAATATATAATAGCAGAATAAATAGTTAGTAAACTATTTGGGTAATTTAAGGTTATTCTTACTTTTTATCATTTATGCCATCTTCGTCCATCCAATTAAGGCTACTCAGTACCTCATGTGGATTAGCTTTAGTCTTGTACTCTTTTTCCATAGTTACTTTGTTATTAGGAAAAGCGTAAGATGACGAAACATGGATAAATAACTAAAAAATAAAATTTGTTTTCATTACTTTATATTAAAATGATATATTTACTACTATATTTATTATTATATTCAATATGATATCCAATATGATATTCAGTAAATAAATAACGTATTTTCTATTTCCAATATTAAGTATGCTGTTTGGGGGATAAAGAATTTCCACGTGAAAAGCCAAGTGAAAGCCAAAGCAGATACCATTGTTTTACAGGAAATGTAAGTGTAATTTATTTCAAAGCTATTGATCATAGGATATGTCCAATAAGACTTAAAGTCAAGTTCGCTAATATTAGCATTATTAGCATCCATGCTCCAACGGAAGAAAAAGAGGATGATAAAAAAGACATGTTCTATGAGGTACAAGACCGAGAGTATGATGATTGCCAAAAAATGACATCAAAATATTGGCAGGAGACTTTAATGCCAAAGTCAGAAGAGGAATATACTTTCGCCCACCATCGGAAAAGAGAGCCTACCCGTAGACTCTAATGATAACTGTCTTGGAATCATAAACTTTGCGATGTCTAAGAACATGGTAATAGCTGGGACACGGTTTCCCCATAAAGATATACATAAGGGATTTTGGATATCTCCTGATAATGAAATGATTAACCAAATAGATCATATAATTATTGATGCAAGACACTGCTCTAACTTATTAAATGTTAGGTTTTTTAGAGGAGCAAACTCCGGACTAAATCTGTTTGGAAATGTATAAAAAAAGGTGGTGATCAACTTTTTGATGACAGAATGAATTGGTGACCCCAGAAGAGTGTCCAAAGAGAATATGTCCGTTGCATAAAAAAGTTGATTAACTAGAGTGTAAGAACTATAGAGGCATTGCTCTGTTAGCATCCGCGCATAAAATCTTTGGCAATGTATTGTTTAAAAGACTTAAACATTTTACAAAGGATATTGTTGAACAATATCAATACGGATTTACTGTTGAAAAGTCAACTACACATCATATTCAAGCACATAAGCAGATTCTAGAAAAGTCACTAGAATATAACATAGATCCATACCATCTCTTCGTGGACTCAAAGCAGCTTATGACAGTGTAAAAGAACTGCATTATATAATACAATAATAGACTTTGGGTCTCACCCAATTTAGTTAAGTTGACTCAACTTCTTCTTAAAGTGCCCCATCAAGTCTCCTTGACGTTCTCGATTAACATGGCGAAACTCTCTCTGTCTCGAGCTATTCTCAAGAGTTGCTCAGCTTTCCTTATTCCTGTCCACTCCCTGATATTCTTCAACCAAGAGGCCTGGTTTCTACCAAAAACTTCTGCGTCCTTCGATTTTACCCATCATAATAAGTTGAAGAATATCGGTCTTCCCTTACTACGTGTCCAAAATAGGCCATCTTTCTACATTTGATGTTCTCAAGTAGCTCGGGAGCAGCATTTGCTCTCTCAAGGACTGCCACATTTGTCAGCATAACCGTCCATGGAATTTTTAGGATACACATTTCACAGCCACATTTCAAAGGCCTCCAGACGATTAATGGTGGATATTTTTTTAATGTCCATGCTTCGACACCTTATAAGAGGACTGACCAAATGTAGCATTTAACCATGCGCTTTCGAAGTTGAAGTTGCAAGTTATCATTACAGAAGAATAACCTCATTTTTAAAAATGTCGTGCGGGCTATCTCGATTCTACATTTTATCTCTTGATCTGGATCTAGTTGTTCAGTAATATGGCAACCAAGATAATTAACACTGGACACTCTTTGAATTATATGACCATCAACATATAATCGTGCATCTTGATGTGCTAAACGGCTACCATGTGTTTTGTTTTTGAACGGTTTATGTTTAGGCCAAACTCTCTTCCCACTGTATCAATGGTATTTTAAAGGCATTGTAGTCCATTCATGTCATCGCTTAAAATAACTGTATCGTCGCATATCTGATTGTATTTATCAGAATTCCATTAACTTTCACGCCCCATTCCAAATTATGCAGTGCTTCTTTAAATATTCTATCTGAATATAAATTAAATAACAGTGGGGATAGTATACAACCCTGTCTGATACCTCTTTGTATTCTACATATTTTTGTTGATTTTCCGTTTATGCAAGTGTAACGAGTCCGTTACTTAAATACCCATTTACTGCTTTGTCACTGGAATTCTTTAATTTAATTACAAATTAAATTCATTTCGAAATATTCTTAAACCAAACATTTAAATAACTTCGGTAAATTTTATTTTTAAAAGTTGGCAATAAATCACGCCCTCTGTCTACGCCTCTGATCGTGGTAACAGCGTTAGCGCCATCAGACCGGCACTTGCTTGGAATTCCTTGAGTTGAAGAGACGTATTCAGGCGACTGAGAGTCCCTCGTTTAAGAGTTTGGTTTAAGTTTTATTTTATTTGGAAGAAACTATTATTTTGTGGAAGAAAACCCAGTTGGTTATTTTATTTTGTTTTTGTTTTGGTGAAAATACATTAAGTTGGGATCACTCTCAGTCGGTAAGTTAAATTACAAATAAATTATATGTAAAAACACGTCCTATCATCCGCCATTGTTGGTGAAATTTAAATCTATTTATAATCCTCTCTCAAAATATAGTCTGTCCACCTATCTATCTATCTGCTATCTTCTATGTACTATTTCATTCATTTCATAAATACCTAAACAGATTACAAGTAATAAATTTTTATAATAACATCAAATTTTATTTCTTTACGAGGATGAAAGCCAACAATTATCTATTTCAATTCCATACCGTTTAAACCGGCTAATATTTCCTTGTTTTTGTCCCATTCTATGATTATATAGCTTCCGTAAAAATCATCTATTTAATTTATCCGTTCAAACATTGTCAAATCTAAATTCCAAGGTTATTTTTTTTCAGAAACCATAGTTTTTGCGTCAATTTAAAAGCAACTTTGACCTTTCTTGGTTCTTTTTTACTTTCTTGTACAAACAAGGATTTGTAGTAACACAACTGTGTTTTTTTAGCCTACGTCCGGAATCCAGTGCAGGTCTGGGGGAAGAAAAAACTTTTATTTAATTTTTTGGGAATTGGAAGATAAGCAGTCATTTTTATTTAATTGGGTTAAGAAGAATTGTAAGGACTTAATTTAAAAGTACCTTTTTTTATATGGTGTCCAGGTTTGGCGTATCACCCACCTGCGACTAGTTCTTCCAGAGGATCTCGAGGGAAACCTGCAGAAACTAACAGGAAGAACTAATTTTTTTTTGTCGATTTAAATATTTGTAGCAATTTTTTTAACGTCCTCTTCAAGGTTTAACTTTTGTTTCATTTTCAATTTTTTTTTCAAAATATATACTTAATAATAATTACATTCATTTTTATAAAATAATAGTCATTGTAAATTTAGTAAAACATTTATTGTCCACCAAGGGTTGAGATTGTAACTCCCCTGGACTCTCTCGTTATCAGGTTATAGTGTGCACACATATCTGGAGAGGTTTATTTCATTTATTTGATAATTGTAACGTTTATATTATTATATATTTCTTTTTATATTATATACTTAACCATTGCATAACCTGAGTCAACATTTCACATAAATAGGTACATTTGGGAAAGGGGAAACTGTTTTATCATTATATTTAGGGTTTTACTGTAAATATAGATTAGTTAATTGTACATAAGAGGTGTTGGGTTATATTGTTAAATATAAGGGGTTAAATAATTTGTACATAAAATAGGTCTTTATTAAAGTTGGGTTAAAACAATTTAAGATTTCACTTGGTACCTATCCTTTAATATTTCAGCAATACAAGATATCTCGGAAGAAACCATTTAACTTCCTGGCGCCCAAACATTCAGTAGAGCAACTTTATCTTTCTTCTGTTTATTTCTTGGTAGTTTCTAGTCATTAATTCTTACATCTTACGGTCTCTGTAGGGCATGCAAATTGGCCGAATCCCTCTTTGATTGTCAAGTGGTCATTCTCCTGCATAGTCGCTAGCCAGCATTAATTTTATTTTTTTTTTAAAATTCATATTTATCCTTTATTTATTTCTTTCGCATAATTTATTTCTATCTAATCCCTTTCATCTTCTGTTAGTCCACATATTAGTTCGTTGGTGTATCAAGGTACATTTTAGAGTTTACCCTATTGCTACACTACACATTCTTGTTATATTGGCGCTCCAGCCAATCCAATATTTGTTACATTGGCGTTCCCAACGTGGTGCCTTTTCTCAGTTCAGACCGTACATTCTGAAGTATATTTCTCTTTGCAAAATATTCTTTATTATTTCTAATTTGTTCCTGTTGCTCTTTGTTCATTTTTTTAACTTCTTTATTTATTTATTGTTTTTCTTATTAGATTTACATTTATAGATATACTTGTATTGCTGTAGTTTACTTATACTCATATTTAAACCCTCACCTTTTAATCTCATTGTGTACAGTTAACTATCTATTCTACTATTATTGAACTATAAGAATTTAATAATTTAGACATTACTATTTTTTATACATATATATATATATATATATATATATATATATATATATATATATATATATATATATATATATATATATATATATTAGCCAATATTGGTGAATTTTTTATATTCAAGTATTTGTTAACCATATACTTGTTGAAACCATTGTGTGTTGCTTCAAGGATTGTGTTTATATTTACTTAACTTACTTAACCATTTTGAAATTTTTGTGAATAACTTGAAATTATTTTTGGATTGATTTTGTGGTGTGTTGGTACATATTTACTTATATATTTTTTTTGAAAACTTTATATTACTATTCGATTGTTTTTGTGGAGTGTGAGTATATTATCTCCTTGTCTATTCTACCTATTCATCTATTTGTTTTTTTTTCACAATGTCTGCATTCAAGGTAGAACATTTATTAGTAAAAGAATTGGACTATGAGTTGAGAATTAGGGATATCCCCATTGATGAGTCTTCCAATGTGGATTTAAAACGCAAGATATTGCGTGGAGCTCTAAGGCAAGAAGAAGGAAATAGGAGCTTTCGACAAATTTC